TGTCACATAATAATCCCAGGCATATGCTTATGGTGGGTCAATCCAATACATTGTTCTCTAACAATATAATCATGCAGCAATTCTGACATCTCTATGTCAATGAGAACTCGTTGTCATCAATCAATAACATGTTAGTCTTAAGCGTATTATTATTGCCCATGCCAATAATAATACTTGACCAGGGATATTTTAATAATAACAATTATGTTATTATATGGACTTTATTATCTTCCAGTTTATATTAAACACAAATATAAAATTGAAAATAATAACGGGAATGCCTTTATTCAATAAAATCGGTAAATAAAATGTATCATTACCATCATCAAATTATTGGTCGTTGGTCATACTCTAACACCTTGAGCATTTCAGAATCTATCTTTTCACACGAAAAATGGAAAAGAGGGAAGTTAAAGCTCTGCAATTTCATTTCATTATCTTCTGATTCTCCTGATGGAAGGCTATCATGTGTTGTATTGGGAGCTTGAGTTTGATTGCCCCAGCTTGATGGTTGTAAGGGATTGAAGCTTTTAATCACGAGACATTGACTCCTCTTAGCTTTCTTTATCAATATTCGGGCCTCTTCTATGCACCTTTTATTTGAGTAAGATCCATTTTTCATAAAGAAACCTTAACCTTTCATTATTTCTTAATTCATTATTAATTCAAACATGCGTTGTGAGACCACATCTAATTTTAAGAGATGGCTCGAGTTACCAACTCTTTAGCAGGTTATTGGTCATCTATTGTCGCTATTTTGACCCCACCTATATCATTTGGAATCTAACTCATAGCCTTTACAGCGGGATCCTCTAGCGGCTTCTCCCTATGAATCAAAACAATTATCATATGCATCAATTTAGACATTTGTTCTCTTGACTCATCTTGCAATTTTTTTGCTTGATAAATCATTTCTTGATGAGTCTTGAGAAGCTACTCTCGGAGTTTCTCTATTCTACCAACACGTGCTAAAATATCATTCATGACTTTTATCTTTCTATAGAAAGATCAATTTGGCTCCACTTTACTTTCAAAAATTCTGTCATGGAATCCTCCATAAGTTACTCTGATATTTTCTCTATTAAATGCATATAAAATAGTTTGAAACAAATAAAATGTGAATGTAATGTAAAAAATGCAAATGCAAACGTGAAGATGCAATGATGTAAATGCAAAATGAAGATGTAAATGCAAATGCAACAAAGGTGTTGATTCCAAAGTAATTGTCATAAAACAACTTTCAAAGAACACACAATGTCTTAATGGGCTGAGGCAGATGGAAACTAAAAATCACATCAAACTGCTCAACTTCCTAAATTTTGATCAAGTATGCAAAAAATACTATTTTTATCCCTGACTCGATAGACAAATTTAATGCTTCAACTTCTTTTCTATGAATGCAATTTTTAGGCGACCATATGTGACTAGCATCATCCACTATCTCGTATTGGATTTTGTTGTTTCTCGACGACTTCAAATATATTACTTATTTTCAGCTAGTTGTTTTAAAATCATTGTAGCATCCTTGAAAAGCTTGATTTATTGCATCATTTGAGCTTCACGTATTAAGACTTGGTGTACCTTTTTCATCTACTTCCTGGAGCACCCCTTTGGACCATTGACGCGCTTTTTCAATTCTATTATACCTCTTCGAGTGACATTTTCGTATTGGAAACCTTCTAATGTGACTATTAACTTGAGATTCAATACCTTCTATGATATGACATGTATGAAACATGTGTTATTTCCAAGGTAATTATATTAGAATAACTTTCGAAGAACACACAATGTCTCAATACGTCAAAGAATATAAAAAATAAATTTTCTGCCATTTCGTGTGGCGTTGTCATTTTAAAAGCCTTTTAATTTGATAATTAACCCAAGAATTAACACTAAGTTTATGCAATAATAAATCACCAAGACAAGGTACAAAGAAAAGATGTTAGCAAAAATATTAATTAAAGAGAGGAAATGTGTGTTAGTAAAAATATGAAAAGATTAACTTGAACTGGTAAATGAACCATAAAATACATTGAATAAAGCACACGAGAAATTTAAAACCCTAGTCGCATGCATTCTAATTCTCTTAGGGTATCCACATGGCTCTAGAAAGGTGGGCTTACTACATGCTCTATATGAAGTTTGGTTCTAACAAGGGTTCCCGAATTGTCCTTATGACCTGCTAAGGTAAATAAGGACTTCGATCATGGCCCATCATAGACTTTTGAGATCGAATTTAGTCTAGGGGGATCATATCACTATATGACTATAAAGAAAAACAATATCATGACAGCCATAAAGAATGTTTCCAGAGGTACTTTCTCAGACCTACACAAGGAAAAATAGTATTCCCTGGTGGTGTGGCGTTTCCTACTACTTAAGTGAATCGGGTCGAAGCTCGGGTATAGAGCTATAATATGCAGTAATCCTATTTTTCAAATAAGTGAAAGCATTAACCAGAGAGAAAATCTTTTTTAGTTTTCTAAAAAACACAGTGAATAATGAATTAAATAAACTCGAACTCAATTTAAACTCTTGAAATATAGGGTAATCGATTCGTTGCTCGACTCCTTATTTGTCACCACTATATCAGGGAGTATTCATTTTCCCTCTCTTTGTTTTTAAATTTGATATACATTTTGGGACAAAACAGATTAAGTGGGGGGAGGATAAACATGTCAAATTTTTCCTTGACTTGTTTGATTGTTTGAAGTTGAGTTAATCTCATATTGATGTGTTGGGATCGTTGATTGCTATTCTTGACCTTCACTTTATACTCTTGTCTTTTGGATTGTGACATGTTTTGATCAACTTTAATTTGCACGATAGTGATTGGTATAGCTGGTGAATTTTTTTGTTGAGTATAGTTATTTCATGCTTTTGTTGATAGAGATGAACTTGACACAGTGCATATAAACGTTTCTTGTGAGATTCAAGCCTAACGGGCATACATTTTCTTTATTGCTCAATGTTTGATTTGAGTGTGCTGGATTAATTAGGATATTCTAAAACTTGTAATCACAATGCATATCAAGACTACATGTTGAATGTAATGTTTTAATGTGATAAGGGCACCTAGAATAAACCCACTTTTCCCCCACACACACACAAAAAGCCTACCCATCTATATATCCACTATTGAACCACATTTGAGTTTATTTCCCTTTGTTTGATTTTCAACTCACCGAATTAAACCCGAAGCCTTTCTATTTATTTCCATCTCTTTTCACACCCTTGTTAATACTTGAGATCTTGTATCACTCTTTTCCCACGAAAAAAGGAAAAACAATTTTGTAAAAAAGTGCACTATTCACTGTTTCGAACAACAGAAAAAAGAAGAAAAGACATTGTTTGAATGAAAAGAAAAAGAAGAAGGAAAAATAGATCGTTTCAATTTCCTTTCGTCTAATATTTTTCCTTATTTTATTTTTCATTGTGCTTCATGTTAATTTGTGGATTGTTCATAATTATTTTGATCTCTTGTTTTGTAATTTTAAACCGTTCATTTCGGCCTTTTTCCCTACACATACCTTAGCCACGTTACAATCCAAGTCAAATACCCCTTGATTATTGTATTATGTTCATTTTTAGTAATGAAGACTTGATTGGATTCGAAGCCTATGATAATCTTTTGGTTAGTTCCTGTTTGAGCAATTTCATTTACCCTAAACACTTTGAGCGGATATGTGTGAATCTTTCTGAGGTATTGAGTCATGTTTCATTGAAGTTGGCAATTAATTGGGATATCTTTCTTGCTTTAAATTTTCTTAGTTGTGTATTTGCTTGAATGTAACTTGAATTCGGCAATTGTGATGGACTTAGTTTGATTGGAAGTTTGAAAAATAAATTGAAATTAAAGATGGTAACTTGTGATTTTGATGCGTTACTTGAGGAATGCTTGAGGACAAGCATTTAATAAGTGAGGGGGAATTTGATAGGTTCTTTATTTAGTTGTTATTTTGACATTAAATTACTCCTTAATCGTTGGTTTTTGTGGCTTATTTGTTCATTTTGATTCATTTTCTGTGCAAGAGACTAGATTCTGGAAATTGCACTAAAAGGATAGAATTATGTAGTTTATTTTATTTTTGGAATCAAATCTGGATTAGTGGGCATGACGCATCTGATGTGGCCATGATGTCAGCACATTCTAGAAGGTTTAGTCAGCACTTCTAGAATAACAAATGGATCAGTCGAACGTTTCAGCAATTCAGATTTGAATTAAACTCATGTTTTAAGATATTATTTTAAATATTATATTTTATCTTATCTTTGTTTTATGTATTTTAGTTTAAATAGTTTTAAGTATTTTCATTAGGATTTATTTCTTTAATTTAGGAATTATATTTACCTTATTTTTAGGATTTTGAAGGCTATAAATATCCTCTCAGGGTAAGCCTAAAAACATATCTCTCTACAACTAAGAATTTACTTTTCTTCTTCTTTCTACACTACAAGAAAATATACCTTTAATGACACATGAACGATGACACACGATAATTTATGACTTGCAAAACATGTGTGTCATAAAAAAAATGTTATGTTTCTTAAAATCTGAAAGATTTATGACTTACAATAATGTGTGTCATATTTAATAGTCATAATCCAAAAAATTTGCAAAAACACGGAGTACACTTTTAATTGTTTGTCATATGTAAAAGTCGTCTTTTAATTTCCCCCCCCCAATAATTTTAATCCTTTCCCGCTTCTTCCCCTCAATCATCAGTTCACACTTTTGCATTCATGTTACCAAGAAACACAATATTGAGAGATCAGATGGAGAATGCTTCTTCCCCAAACCCTACCCCTCCAAAATCCAAACAAAAGCACCCAAAATCATCTAAGGAGGACCAATTGGCTTGCTTCAAAGGGGTCAGTACTCTTTCTCGTCTTTTTAATTTGATGGTATTTCAACGAAATACTAGAAATTCTTTGGTGTCCTGACTTTGCTTGGGGAAAACCACAACATTGTGGAGATAAGCAAAAAGAAGATGAGTTAATTCCCTTCCTTTAATCCTCGTTCTAAAGATTCAAGGATCGACATGGACAATGGAAGTCAAACCACTTCTCGCCATTCCGCTGATTCCTTTGGTTTTTGATAGGGAAGCGGTGGCGGATTGATGAACGTTGCTCTTGTTGAAGAATCAAACCTAGAAAGCTCTAGACTCGATTAAGAACAAAGGGAACGAATAGGGGAAGGTGGCGGTAGCAAGTAGGGTTCTTTTATGTGCTGGAATCAAGACAACACGATAAGAATAAAATAAACAAAAGATAAATAAATGAAAGATGAAATAAGATAATAAAGAAATCAAAAGATCTCCCTTATGAAGGTGAACGGTAAAGATGATTGATGGCGTGGATGGATATGTGGATAATAGATGGATAAGTGTCCTATCGAGCCCTCCTAGTCGCAATGAAAAGGCAAACACGATAAATGGCTCTAACCAACCCTCCTAGTCGCGATGAAAAGGCAAATTGGAGTGTGAAGATTAATCTCCCTCACAAGAACTTGAAAGAACTCAAGGAGAAGAAGCTTCGAAGGCACAAGGCAATCAGCACTTGCAAAAACGAACTCTCGTTGTATTATTAATCAAAGAAATATGCTTTACAAAGTATAATGAAGCCTCCTTTATATAGGGGCTGAGTTCTAAAGGTCCTAAATAACTAATGAATAAAATAATAATAAACTAAACATGTCTTAACTCTAATTCCTAATAAAATAATAATAACTAAAGATAATATTTTAACCCAACCTTAATTCCTAATAAAATTATAAATCTAATCCTAAAAGATAATGCATCATCCTATATTAAGTTATATTACAAATAATCAATATAAATATTGAAAATTCGTAATATTTACAAAATAACGTATTAATCCCGTATAGGATTTCCTGCATGCACCTTCTTCAGTAAAATGACCATATCTTGAGTTCCCGATATCGGATTGATGCAATTCAAGAACCGTTAGAAAGATAAGAGACATACGGTTGTATCTCCAGAAGACATGTCGACCAAATAATATCAGGATCCCATTCAAAAAGTCGTCTCAAGTGCGCTGCTGTTCTGATCTTCTTTTCCAAAGCTTGGACGAGTGGATCATTTGGAAGAGTTATTACTTCTTCCTTTGATGTGAACCTTGTGATGCATGTATCATCCTCCCTTTCTTCAAAAAGATTCGACCTCGAATCTGAATCATTAAAGGGAGCAACATTAGAATAGTTTAATAATTCATTCACATTATGCTTACCGAATAGATATGCTTTGAATCTTCGAGACTTTTTTCTTCTAATAGGTTCGAGTAGAAACATTAGTCCAAAGAAGCATGTATTATGGACTCTGGTGCATGTATCATTCCCCCACTCCTCAAAAGGATTCGTCCTCGAATCTGAAAATCCAAAAGAAAGAGAATTAGATGTGTTGAAATAAAAACTTGTGAAACATTTACCAGGATCAACGTGATGTGTCTTTATGCATTTTAGTCGAGGTTTCTTCTTTGTAGGAACTGATTTCTTGTAGTCTTGAAATCCTCTTTTGCATACAAGTCTTGTAATCTGATGTTTTGGTTGAATTTCAACATGGCGCCGGTCACTGTTGGCTTTCTGTATGATTATTTCAGATAATTTCTCCATGGTTTTATTCGTGTGTGGCGAGAATGAGTGTTTAAAAACCATGTCAACTGGTTTGTTAACGTAATCCCTTAAGTCTCCTAAGTGTGGTTCATGAATTAATGATTCCCATGAGGAGATTTGTGGACTGTATAACCTGTTTAGTTGGCAAGGAAACTCATATACAAGATAAAGCTCATTAAAAGCACTTTTAAATGTATGGGTAGAAATATCAGAAATATCCGAGTTATCGTGATATACATCTTTGATATGTTCAATTCTCGGAATAGAAGTATGAGTTTGATAGGTAAGAGTATACCTTCGTGGTAGTGTATCGTCTACTGTGTTTTGCTTACCTCGGTATGTTACGCACTTAAAGGAGTTGTGTTTAGTATGGATGACAACTTCACGAGCCTTACCTTGTAAGAAGGAGAAGAAGTACGTTACAATGTCATTAAAATGAGTAATAAAATATTTACCTTTGGACTCTCGTAAATCGTGACTCTTCATTGGTATGGCATAGTGATTAGGGCTTTCAGGTGGTAACCCGTCAGGAGGGTCACCTAGCACTATTCGACAACTCTTGGTGATGGAAGATGGTGTGGTCCAGTCTCGTGTTGCTTTTACTTTCTCATCATTTACATGGATTCCCTGTGCACGAACTATAAAGCATGTGGAGTTGTTCAAGTCATGTTTCGTCATTAAGATGACGTTACGACTAAGGCTTTCATGGATGTAGCCTTTTTTTAACAAATCTAACTCTTTGGTTTCTTCGAGATTGTATGTTTGACGAGGTATGATGGAACCTTGAATTAGATTGGTTTGGTGTTTTTTTCCTTTTTCCAGTGGTAATCCGTCAGGTGGATCACCTAACACTTCTCGAAAATCCTGTAACAAAGATGAAAACACTAGGCAAATCCTTGTTAATGTTAGAAATCGAAACAATTGATTCTCTAAAGCGAACAAGGATGAAAGGTTGTTTGTAAAGAAGGTTCTCTCTCAATTCTTTTGTGCTCACACGTAGATTTTGAGTCACTCTTTTCTTCTCACAATTAGGTTCACTCACCTCCCATGGGTCATTATACTTTTGGCTTTTGTAACTAGTGACCTCTTTTTCTTTTGCCTCTTTCTCAACTTTTTCTTTTTTTGATTTCCCTACCTCCTCACAAATTTGATCTTTAGGGGCTAGAAGTGTGTCATTCTTTGTTGGTCGTTCTTTCTCATTGTCAGGTTTGTCATCTCTTGGCTTTTTCAGAGAAGATGGAGTAGAAGATGAGGAAGGATTTGAAGGATTACCTTGGTAAGAGGATGAAGTACCTTGGTAATGTTCACTGATTCGAGATCTCCTTTGGATTTGTGCTTCGATTGTCATTGCTTTCTTTAGTGTATCTTCAAGGTTTTCGTACCCTTGTAGATCAAGAAGATCAGTGATGTTTGAGTTTAAGCCGACGACGAATCTTGATACGGTGACTTCTTCTTTTTCGGTTATGTTAGCCCTATTGAGTAAGGACTGCATCTCCTTGTAGTAATCTTCAACTGAACTTCTACCTTGTCGAAGTCGGTGTAGTCGTTGTTTAACTTCTCGTGTATAATGTGTCGGTAGGAATCGGTTCCTCATGGTTTGTTTGAGGTCGGTCCAAGAAGTGATTGTTGGAATTTGGAAGTTCTGGATCTTTTTCCTTGTTTGCATCCACCAAGTTCGAGCATATCCTTCAAATTGTATGGTGATCAGGTGAACTTGTTTAGCTTGGGGGCAGTCATGGTATGCGAACATGAGATCAATTTTTCCTTCCCATTCGATGTACCTGTCTGGATCGTTGTCTCCTTTGAAAGACGGGATCATGAACTTTGGTTTTGTAAAGAGTTTGGGTGCTTGGAAACGTGGTTGTTCTTTCTCGGGTACCAAAAGTTCAACATTGTTTGGTCTTGGATTATGGTTTGGTAGATTCAGTTGTGGTTCTTGTCGTTCTCTCACGATTTCATCAAATCTTTCAACTTGAGTCGTGAGTCGGGCAAGTGTGGCTAAGATAGTCGTAAGTGTCTTGTTGTTAGTGTCGCCCATTCTGAAATCATAACACTCAAAAGAAAATTTTAAAGTAAAATAAAAATAAAATAAATTCAACAAAGCAAGAAACCTCACAAGTCACTCCAAGAAAGTAACACAACGAGAGGCAAGTAAGCCGATCTTGTACTCTTTAAAACTCACTTTACCAAGTAGTCTTTCACAGTTCGTATCGGAGTTTGATTACTAGCAAAGGCGATAAGAAAAACCTAAAAGCTCTAAGAGGCCAAACAAAGGTTAGACTCCAAGCGAACGAGAATGCAAAGAAGGAAGAAGTATGCAAACTCTTTAGTCCTACTAACACAATGAAGATAATGTGTTAGATAATGTAAAAGAACAATAACAAGGAAAAACAAAAGAACTTAAAGCACTAAGAGTCAAATAAAAAAAAAGAACCAACCCAGAAACCTGGAAAACGCTGGATCAATTTGAGCAACGTTTTTGAGGGGGTTACCGGTGTCAAAAAATTCATGAAAAATTCTTGAATGTCTTTTGATGCGTCAAGAAACCACCTGTAAAATTTCAGAACCAAATACCTTCAGTAGTATCCAGTAGACTCTGTTGAACGGTGAGTCCTCAAACAATCTGTTTTTCTTGATCGCTTTGTTCTAAGGTGTTGTTGATCTCCAAAAATTCTGATTTTTTGTTTGAATGATCTTCAATATATGAATTTTCAATCTGGAAATTTTCACCACGAAATTCCTCCTGTAACATTTTCAAGAAATTCGACAAATTCTAAACCGAATCTGCCGATGAAACTTGAATGATGTATTTGAAGGCTCCAATGAACTCCAATTGGGGTGAAATTTGAACTGGGGTTTAATCTTAGAATGAATATGATATATGGATAAAATCAGCCCTAAATAACTTCGTTTGAAATTTTTTGAAATTTTGGCTTTTTTTGGCTCTTTTTATGTTTTTTTGCCTTTTTTTTTTTTTTGAAAAAAAAATAGCAAACTAACAAGAAGGATTTAAATCTAAATTAAAATTAAATAAAAAGAACCTGAAACGCTGAATCTTTTGTGAACTAGCTCCGTTGGGGTACCTTGACGATTTTGTGTGCAAGAACAAGCAAGATTGCTTGTTTCTTTCCAAGAATCGGCCCAAATCTGATACCAATTGATAGGGAAGCGGTGGCGGATTGATGAACGTTGCTCTTGTTGAAGAATCAAACCTAGAAAGCTCTAGACTCGATTAAGAACAAAGGGAACGAATAGGGGAAGGTGGCGGTAGCAAGTAGGGTTCTTTTATGTGCTGGAATCAAGACAACACGATAAGAATAAAATAAACAAAAGATAAATAAATGAAAGATGAAATAAGATAATAAAGAAATCAAAAGATCTCCCTTATGAAGGTGAACGGTAAAGATGATTGATGGCGTGGATAGATATGTGGATAATAGATGGATAAGTGTCCTATCGAGCCCTCCTAGTCGCAATGAAAAGGCAAACACGATAAATGGCTCTAACCAACCCTCCTAGTCGCGATGAAAAGGCAAATTGGAGTGTGAAGATTAATCTCCCTCACAAGAACTTGAAAGAACTCAAGGAGAAGAAGCTTCGAAGGCACAAGGCAATCAGCACTTGCAAAAACGAACTCTCGTTGTATTATTAATCAAAGAAATCTGCTTTACAAAGTATAATGAAGCCTCCTTTATATAGGGGCTGAGTTCTAAAGGTCCTAAATAACTAATGAATAAAATAATAATAAACTAAACATGTCTTAACTCTAATTCCTAATAAAATAATAATAACTAAAGATAATATTTTAACCCAACCTTAATTCCTAATAAAATAATAAATCTAATCCTAAAAGATAATGCATCATCCTATATTAAGTTATATTACAAATAATCAATATAAATATTGAAAATTCGTAATATTTACAAAATAACGTATTAATCCCGTATAGGATTTCCTGCATGCACCGTCTTCAGTAAAATGACCATATCTTGAGTTCCCGATATCGGATTGATGCGATTCAAGAACCGTTATAAAGATAAGAGACAGAAGGTTGTATCTCCAGAAGACATGTCGACCAAATAATATCAGGATCCCATTCAAAAAGTCGTCTCAAGTGCGCTGCTGTTCTGATCTTCTTTTCCAAAGCTTGGACGAGTGGATCATTTGGAAGAGTTATTACTTCTTCCTTTGATGTGAACCTTGTGATGCATGTATCAGTTTTCTTTTTATTTCTTTTTTTCTCATTACTTTTCTATACAATCTTGCTTATCTGTAAACTCTTTCTTCATTTTTGTAACCAGTTTCCTACGCTACGAGAAGAAAGGCAATTTTAGAAGGTAATGCTAAGTATTCTAACACCAAATTTCTCGGGAAACTTTCTTCTTTCCCAGTGGATTTGATTATTAGTTTGTTCAAAATTTTGGTAACAGAGCATAAGAAAGGAAATGATCAGGGATATGGCTCCAAAGGCAATGGGGCGCATAGTTTCACATTCTGGGAGTTAGCAACGGTAACAATGAATTTCAGGGAAACTAATTTGCTTGGGGAAGAAGGATTCGAAATAGTTTTAAAAGGAGAGCTCTAATTATTTTGATATTTATGGACCTCAAGTACACTTTTTTTGGCTCTTTCTTTTCATATTTTCTATAGGGATTATATTGATCTGTTTTAGTATAATGGGGGAATGTGATGAAACATAAAGCCTTCCCTTTGCAGGCAAAACCAGAACTTGTTTTCAAGTTGCCAGAAGCTGACAATACTTTGAATTTGCAAGTAAGTTTCTGGAAATCGAATTTAAGTCAAAAGAAAAGAAAAGGAAACATAGTTGAAGTTTGGGTCTTTTTTTGTTTTGGTACCAGGATGTTCAAGGTCTTGTTACTTGGGTTCTTGCCGATCGATTCATGCCTTCCTGGGTTTTTATTAAGGTATATAAATAGTATAATTTTATGTATTGAACTTTATACTTGGTTTCCTTATTAATGTTTGGAACAAAGTCTTTGATTGTTTGGGTTTTTATAAGTTATATAAGAAGACGTTCTTATTTTATATTGTTTGCAGAATAAACCACTGATTCTGAAAGTTGTAATGCTTTATGCCCCTGGCTTGGATGCAGCTTTGTACTTGGCACAATCCATGAAACTTTCTGGTTTGAAATAAAGTTGTGGCAATCCTCGGCCGCTTTTAGCTTTTAGGTTTGTAATGACCTTGTTTCTGCATTCATTGTCTATCAGAAATATGCTCGGTGTGAATTGCAATGCAGTGTGTTTATGAATCTATTTTTTTATTGTAGCTGTGTATCCGATGGGATGCAGACAATAGACGCACTCCTGACGTGCAAGGTAAAGAGAAAGAGAAATGTGATCGATTCGGTGAATGAAATAAGCCAGCCTGCTGAACAATGGGAAAAATCTATCTTTGAAGTTGAACGGTCCGCTTCCTTACTTGCATGAGTTTCTTACATGTATGGTGGAATTAGATTCTTTACAGGGTTAGTTGGTTTTCATTAGAGGATTGTCAGTCCCAACTTATGTGACTAGAAAAGCAAAGATTTGGGGATAGTAAACATGTGACATTTACTCATCTGGCGGTCTTAACTAACTTTCATGAGACAGAACCAAAGTATTTTAGCTGTTCTGCACTTGTTTATAGTGGTGTTATGAAATGGTCAAGATTCATATCCACTTTCTTACTCTGCATAACTTAACCATTAGATTAACAAATTTTTCATCGTCACTCATTCCCATCCTTGTACCAGACTTTGCCTAAGTGTTGTACGGAATAAAACTTGCCAGAGATTTCAGCTTTCTTTCAGTGGGATTCAATCTAGTTAATTCCTTTTCAAGGGTGTTTTGAAGCTTGGGCTGTGTGTTATAATGAAATATATAATATAATCTTTTACTTTGTGACATGCCCTAACTTGATTCCAATTGTTGTGCCGAAAAAAATTATTAAAGGATGGTACATTGTATACTCTTGTATGATTTTTGGAAAGTTCTAGATCTGATATCATGCATTTGCTTCAGCCTGTAATGTGTTGTGGCTCTTTCCTTTCAAATGATGTAATTCGATGTTCTAGTCACCCCACTCAGTCTTTCAACTTGCAAAAATAACTTGAAGTAGTTGGAGTTACTCAGAAAAAAGGCATATACGTTTATTCAAAAATAAGTCTATTGCCACTCTTACAATTATGGAGTCAAAGTTATCTTTTAATTAAAACAAGTGTTCTGAAATTTGGTTCAGAGCTTTTTGTATTTTCATGTCTCAATCTATATGCTAATCTCTCTCATTTTTAGGAGAGCATGGAAAATGAAACGAATGGCAGCCTCTTTTTATTGCTTGCTTATTTCCATTGGCATTTGTTGATATTTTTTTCTTCCCTCTCAACCTTGATGCTTCTAAACCCTATAGACAACTATTGTTAAAGATGGTAGCTAAATTTAGGTGCACTAATGACTTCTAAACTTTTGCATACATCATTTGAAACAAAGTTAAAGGTTGAACTAGTCTTTGGTTGATCAAACTTTTGTCCTCCCAAATTGCAAAAGGCAGAGTTTGCAGTTCTGGTATGACTGGTTCTGCCTTTCACTGTTGGTGCTTTCCCCTTAGTCCAAAACATCTAGTTCATCAGTTGTGTTGATATTTGATTCTCACGGATATTGTGTGGTCCCTTTTTTTCTAGCACAAGAAGTAGGAAAAGCATTAGGCACTGACCTGGGCATAACTAAGACAAATAACCTTAGTTTCTGTTGTACTTTAGTAAATGTTTTGTGCATCAATTACATTTTTGCCGATTGCACTGGTTGCTCATATGTACTACGTATATCACAACCCCCCGTGCTTTCTTTAGTTTTTTTTCTGTTGGTATGCTATAGTCTGAACTATAGTTGTAGGTTAGAAATTAGCATTATAGACCTTAGCAGCCCTCCTCTCCTCTCCCCCTGGATATTCTTGATGATTCCATGTAAGAGTAGTAGTTAAAAACATTATGTTATTGTATTTGATATGAGGTAGCTTTTCAGTTTTCTCTACATATCAGTATGACATTTCTTTTTTGTTCTTTGTTTGCACTAATCTTGTCACGCCATCTTCATGGTAAGTTGGGATTGTAGATGTTTGGTATAAGACCGATGTTAACATTTCATATGGTGATGTGTTCTGCAAATTGCTTATATGATATGGAGCTTATTATGTACTGGCTGTGCAAAATTTTGACATCTTTATTTTATTTTACTAACCATTTGTTGATATTATTTTTGCATATTCTAAGCATCCTCATTTTTTTGTCAATACAGGTTTGACAACACTGCCTATTTGCACATATCTGTGGCTTTTATCCAGATGCTCAAAGCTCTAAGTATGTGGAAACAAAGTGCATTATTGTATATATATAATGGTTATATGTTCTTTCTCAATGTCGTATTTTCTTTGTTTTCTTTGACAAATCGTTTATTGTAAACTATTTGTAGTGTGAATATATTGTATACAAATGTATTCCTTATATATAATATGATATATATATTTAGTATTATGAGGCATTAAATGTGATTTAGTCTGATTATTTATCAATCTACAATATATATAAATATATATATATAATTCATGAAATACAATCACGACACATGAATGTGTGTCATTTTTCATTTATGACGGGGGCTTCAATGACACGCAATGTAAGTCATAAATGCGTGTCATAAATTTATGACTCACAAATGTGTGACATCATCATTTATGACGGGGGCTTCAATGACGCGCAATGTAAGTCATAAATGTGCGTCGTAAATGCGTGTCATAAATGCGCATCATAAATTTATGATGCACAGTTGCGCGTCATCTTAAATTCATGTCGGTGGCTCCAACGACAGGTAAATGTGTGTCATCCGCACCCATAGATGACGCGCAATGCACGTCATTAAAGGGGTTTTTCTACTAGTGCTAGTTTTATAAAATTCTCTTTTTTTTCTTTTTCTTTTCATGATTTCATTTTTTTATTTTTAAGTTTTATTTTCAAATATGCTAAGCATTACTTTTGTCATGCTTAGCTATTTTTCTTTTAGGTCGAAGGCTAAAGCAATGACTCAATTCCAATTTTATGAATTGTAAGACACTTAAATTGCTTCAGATATCTCTCTATGTTTTCTGGGCTTATTTTCAAATCAAAACAATTTTCAAAACCAAAAAGTCGACGTTGGACTGGATGCTGTTATAATTAACGTGGGAGAAAGTATCGGCTTATTGAAGCACATTCGACTTCTTGGGAACACACTTAGTAAAATTGTTTGCTAAGAGGAAACTGAGATCATAATCAGTTATTGTTGAAACAATATAATCCATGTCGACATCTTTTCAAGCCTTAACATTTTCAGATCTACAACATTGTTGTTGCTTAGATCAATTCACAAACTGATATTAAAGATTGAACTTGGGTATTCGGTATATAAAGCATAGTCACAAGGATTTGTCCTTGTAGACAAGTAACCGACATGAATCCTGAAGTAAAGATCTATTTCGATGATCCGAGGAAACTGAGTCAAAGCTGAAAGCCTGAGGCTACTTTTTACAATAAGTCTTCTCAAACTCTAATTACTTTTTTATTATATTTATTATTTTTTATAATTTGCCTTTATCTTATCTTCAAATAGTTTTTTCAAAACCCCTTATTTATATTTTTCTTATCTCACCTTTTATTTATTTATGTTTTAATTGTAAATTTCATCCCTATCAAAACTCTATCGTTCAGAAACAGAAAGATAACTAAATCAGAAATTGCAGTCTCTGTGGGATCAACCCTTACTTTCCACTTTCTATATTTTCTTTATATTCCTTGTGGGATTAAAGAATTTTTTTGACACAAAAATGACACATGTCACTTTATTATCAATCAAAATAAATAGATATTGGCTTAATAATTGAGAAATCATGAAGTGGGTTTTGAAAAGGATGTTAATTTATTTCTAGAATCAATAGCGGCCACCCCTGGGCTAAAGTAGAGAATACAATATTAACCTTTAATAAATGAACATTGCCTTCTTTAAAAATTAAAATGTAGTTATTAATTATGAAATCTAATTATTCTAAAATTAATTAAAGCTTCTCTCTAGCTTAAAGTGTCAAATTATGAATTTAAAGAATCTATGGGATTAAACCTAAAATTGTAGACTCTAATATTAGTCTAAGTTAATTTTAATCAATTTATGCAATTCGAATAATTAAAATGGAACCTCAAGCAAAAGCAAGGACCAAATTAAGAATTATGCTAATTTAAAAAGAATTTAAAAATTAAAAGCAATTACCAAGTATAAAAGGACTAAATT